AAATAAATTTTCGAATTTATCGAAATTTTGTATTAATACTTTTTATCGTAGATGAATAAAGTTAAGCAACATGTTACTAGTTAAAGTAAAGTTTCTTGTAAGTACATGATATATTGTTTTAAATAATAAAAGCAATTTTCATTCATAAAATGATTGAAATCGAACATATGGGCAGACGAAGTAAAGTTGGCCTGTAATTAAGACCTGTCAGGTAAGCTGTGGAGATTTGTCGCGGACAGTACGGAACTACTAATCAGGATACATATGTTATATCTAGCCTTCTTATCCTACGTTACTGGACAATTGAACTCAGTTCCAGAACAAGATAGTCAGGTTGTTATATGTTTGTATTTTAGTTATTATAAACTAAAATATACGTATACGTATATATTATACGTAAATATACGTATTTTAGTTATTATAAACTAAAATATACGGTTAAAAGGATCGTAGCGGATATTAGTACAAAGAAGGAGATTGCATATATCATGTTTGTACAGTCACAATCATTAGTTATCTGAGAAATTGTAATTAAAGTTTTATATAGGACATCTAGCTCCGGCACTATTTTCATATTTCTTTGAAGTTAGCAGGACCAAATCAGCAAAATCAAATAGGACATATTTATTATATTATTTAGTACCTATTTTGTACTAATTTGTACTAAATAAATTTTATGTCTCGTACCATTTTGGAAAAAAATGACTTAATATTAAGCTAGCAAAACCATACGAAGAAAAAGAAAAACAGAACAAATATATAAATAGATAAACTCGAATTTGTACTAATTTTTACTATTAAAATATATTAATTTTGCATTTTTTAGTGGCTTCAACAAAAATGATTCCACGGTTATTGATCTCAACAGTAAAGTATCTTTCGTTGCTAGCAGAATCAGTCGATACTCTTACAGCCCAGACGCGATAATTTGTGCCATACGAATACGAAATTTCAAATTTTGTACCCATATCATTCCTTCGAAAATCACCTCCCATTCCTATTGCCGTCAAGAGTAAAGTACCTTTCGTTGCCAGCAGAACTAGTCCACACTCTCACAGTAGAGGGGCGGTAATTTATACTACTTGAATACGAAATTCCAGATTTTGTACTCACGTCACTCCTTCGAAAATCACCCCCAATCCCTATTGGCCTCAAGAGTAAAGTACTTTCCGTTGCCAACAGAATCTGTCGACACTCTCAATAGCGGAGACGCGGTAATTTGTATCTTCCTTTTCCTTTTTTATATGGTTCTGTTGGCTTAATATTTAAATTAGCAGCGGTATTATTGTCTTTTTAATGACTATAAGTACAATATTTCTTTTGGTGATATAAATTAATTCAAATCCAGGTCTTTCAACTTACGTATTTGTTTTTATTTTTTCTTTTTTTGTGTAATCCTGTTAGCTTAATGTTAAGCTAGTTGCGTCATCTTCTTTTTCAAAACGGAATATGTGTGTAAGCTAATAAATTTTCTGTGATACAAATTAATACAAAATAAGTACTAAATAATGTAATAGGTCCGGTTTGATTCTATTCATTTGATCCTCCTAGCTTTAGAGAAGTATTTTTATTCCTCGGTTGACATTCCAAAGACAACTGCTTTGAATATTCAGTTTTTGTAAATATTGGTCCAAAACTATGCTATCATACTGAAGTAGAAACTTCCAATAAAATTGAAAAGAATATTATGAGGGAAGCTCATACGTCTCTGACAAAGATTTGACAAAAGGAACTGTATATCGTCGATCACGTTTGCGCGTAAACCAGTCACGGCCAGTTTTATTTAAAATTGTAGTATATTTTGTAAATTTCTACCCACAAATTGGAGGAAATATTTTTGAAGAATCAAACTTTCGCAAAATATTATTTTTGAAAAATCAATTTTGTGAAACTTGATAAATTTATTAATTACATCTCCTTTTATAAATAACCACCCTAAACTATCGTTCTTCTTTTCGTCAGTACATCACAGGAGTTTCCTTTCTAAAATAGAACCTTTCGAATCAGTACATGAAATATACATCATTCCTGTTTTATAACTCGCACAGCTCTTTTATCTCAGTACTTTAGTACGTTAACTGCTTTTAGATGTTTCATATATTCTTCATTAACTTCCTCTTCCGCGTGTCATTTAAGGGCTGTGACAGGGACTATGAAAACCACACCAACAGAGACGCTGGAAATAGCTCTCTGCACTCTACCCTTAGATTGTGTGATCATCAATAAAGCAAGATTCACAGCATATAGATTGAAGTGTCAAGGGGAATGAAGAGATGCAGAAGTGGGTTATACCGCGTTTGGGTTTCTCCACAATTGCCACTTTATACTAAGACAGAACTAAGGCAGAACAGAACGCTAAGGAAATATCAGATAATAAAGACTTTTGAAGTATGGATGCCGTCCAGGGAGGACTGGCAAAACATTAAATTACTTGAAAACCGAGACGTGAATGTACGGTATAAAGACGGATCAGAAATAAATAGATATTTCAAGACGGAAATTTATGGAACTGAAATAAATTATAGGGAAAGAATTCCTATACTCACGATTTTGCAAGCCGAATTCCTAGCATCCTAAGGTACGTGGAACTCCAGTCTCGAAAGAAATGAAAAGAAGAAATATAATCATCTATTTGATGGCAGAGTAGCTATAGCAACGCTCTGACTAAAATCATCATAGAATTATTTATGGTTTAAGACCATTCAAACATTTTACTACTTGCAAGTATTAGAAAAACTAGGAAAGGGAAATCTCCTTAACTTGGGTCTTTGCACACCTAGGAATATCGGGCAAAGATAAGGTGGATAAACTTGTCAAACTGGGATCGAGAAAAGACCTAGATGACTAAGTTGTTCTTGTCCCTTTTCCTGTTCGTAAAAACATCATTAAGAGTCGCCTAGAGAAGAAATACTTAAATGGATGAAAAACTAGCAAAGGATATCAGCAGTCCAGGTTACTTCTGAATTAGTCCTTGTTAAGCAGGACAAAATAGCTCTTGGTTATAAATAAAGAAAAACTAAGAATTAGTCTTAATCTGCAAATAAAACATGTTCTAACAGGACATGTAGCTTTTAATGCACATTTATACAACCTCAAACTAGCTGACCAAAGAGAATGCCACAAAGGAAAAGAGGATAGCATATACACATTGTGTTACTGTCTAGTACTCGTATGTAAAAAATGCAATTCTCTACGAAAAATGCTTCGAACCTAGGGATTTGGAAAATGTAAGGGTGAATAGTATGCTAAGCTTGGTGAAAAATACAGAGCTGGGTCTGCTATTCTAACCTTAGGTAACCGACAGGAAGTCACAGAGGATTCTGGATCTAAGTGACACAGAGGGCTGGAAATAAACCTGCTACCATAAAACGCCTCAGCTACTGTTACTATTACTTTTTCGCGAAAATTGTGGCGTTTAAAACAAATTCGCAGAATGTCACCTCATGATGTTTATTATTTATGATTTTTGTTTCATATCCGTCTCTCATAAATAAAACATACGCACTGTTTTATATATCTTCAAAAAGATTGTTCCTTGCGGTTAAAAATTAAATTAAATTGGGCACCGCGAGACTTAACTACACGCTACCAAATGAAATTTTAAATGGACTTTTTTAATGTGGTCTTTAAAGCACATTAAAAGAAGCGCATTTTTTCCACGCTGCTCTCATAATAGCGCCGCTGATGCTAACTTTTATCGCCGCGCGCCCTGCAACGTTCGATGGATAATTCAATCTTGTGACCTAGATTTTTATTTCGCCGGCGATCGACCTTAACGTTGGTTTCTCGGTAATCCCTGTGATTAGTGGCAATTGGAATCTCCTTCACACTTCAGAGCATCAGAAGTTATTACTCGCGCCTCTGTACGTGCAGTTTATTTTCATCAGTATAGAACGTAATATACACCCACACACACAAACGCATACACATACACACACACACACACACACACATATCGTCGTAAAAGCGCTCTATAGTAGTTGCGCGAACTTCTGCCACTGCTATCCGGTATCGATGGTCGACAATTCTATAATAAGACGCCACCTCGTAATAATGATTTCCGTGCTATTATAGTATGTGCATATTATGTCGTATTCACATTAATACGACATAGTTTGTTACGTAATTTTAAAAGAATTTTATCACGCGCGTTATTATCGTTGCCCTTTTACTCTTCAAAGTCGTGGAAAAAAAATATTGTACCATAATTCGTGTATGCTTTCTGTAAAACTTCCCTAATTACTTCCAATTCATTGTGAGAGGTTTTAATATAGTAGTTGCAATATAGTAGTTGAAAGTTGTAATTTTTTCACAAATTACGGTAATTAAACTTTCGTATTACTTATCAGTGTACACATACGCGCGATATGTTTACTGACTTTATATTTATTTTCATAATATACGATAACATATATCAATTTATAGAAGTGCACTTGCATGAAAATTTCTGTGAAAATAGTATTATCTTTAATATCTTAACCCAATGGAACGCTGCAATCGAATTTTTTCAAATGAAAATTTTCCATTGTAATTTCATAATTTTATATATTTCTCAAATATCATTCTATTAGCAGATTCAGGCCATCAACGCAAATTTGGTGAAGTGAACCTGCTCTCACAAATTGAGTAATTACAACTTGCACATTGCCTATATGTTTGACCTTTTAGCTATTTCGACCCAAATAAATTTTCAGCTAAACGTGAGTGTTCTATTAAATTATCGCTGGTTCCCGATAAATGTAAAAGTAGCTTTATTTATAAGGCAATTTAGGAGTACACAGAAAAAATATCTTCGGTCATATCAATAATAAATGCAAACGCCAAGTGATTTACTTAACAATAAAGAATTGTTGCATGAATTCTTTTTATTACATCTAGTTTACGCATAGCATTACATTTTATCGAGGATATCACTTCCTGTACGAGAAAAAAGTCGTTTTTATGGCTGCGAAATTCTGATGCTGATGTAATGTGCGCAGGGAATATTTATGTACTTTCCATCAAGCTGTATATCGTTTATTGAAGGGGATAAACTATATTTACAATGACATACAGTACGTAATCCCTATAACGGAGGACGGATAGCACGTTGTTGCCTTTGGTATGCAAAATAAAAACATCAACGTTGACGATTCAGGGAGGAAAACCTAATCGTGCCAGGTACATAGCGATCAGTCACAGACTGCCACGACTTCAGCCGCCGTGCACTTCAGTATCCCGTGTGTGCGGATAGCGCGGCGGCGTAGTCGTGCAGGTGATCGTGAGTCTCCGCGTCGTGACCCTGACCGCCGTAGACCCCGCCCGAATGATCATTTTTCCCGGAAGTGTGCACCACCGCATGAAATCCTTCCTTGTCCGCGTGATAACTGACGACCCGAAGGGTGCCACCTGGATCCTTAACGCTGTACTCTCCGGCCACACTACTCCCTAGAGAAAGAAATATTTCTTGAGAGACGTTTCTAGACACGTAACGAAATATCGACCCGAAGGTATCGTTAGCGTGACAACGTCGCGGAATAATATGGGAGCTCGGTCTCTTGAGAAGTATTTATTTAGCGATCGTCACACTTGTACGATCGCTGATGTAAGTTCAAAATCGATAACCCGTAGAAAATCTTTCGTTCCCTTCAATTATCGTTCGTAAACAAAACGGGATTTATACAGTCGTTTCGATAAAGTGTTACAATATTTATCAAATATTTCGACATTTTAGCTAAAATTTTAAAATCCTATGACAGTTATGATGCTTTTCTCACAGGCTTTTAACAAAATTATTACTACAATTATTATTACAACTTTACAGTGAAAAATTTTTACAGGATTTCAACCAAATTATTATTGCAACTTTGCAGACGAATCTTTTTCATTTTATTATATACTCCCATTTCTTAGCAAACTCGAAATTTTCTCGAGATTTTGTTCTCTCTTTAGAGAGGATGCCAAAGTGAATAACGAACTTCAAAAGTATCGATAACGTAGTAGAAACGACCTTTACTAACACAATGTTCGTATTTCTGGTATATATAAATATTATATGAATGTATATTGTTTTGTGTTTTACCACATTTAACGGAAAATCTAATTATGCATATATAGAAATCTTCCTGTCAACTTTACATATATTTTGAAGCTTCCCTAAATTCAGTTGTAAAACTATAGCAATGTTCTTTAAGATTTCCCTGAGTTAACTAAACATACGTTCAAAATGCACAAGCTTTGAACTTTTTGTATTTCTTATACATATATTCTTTGTATTTCTTATATATCTAGATTTTATGTAAATGTGTTCTACTTTGTTTCACCATATTTAGCAAAAGGTCTGATCATGCATACAATTTTTCTGCGAATTTCTTGTACATTTTTAAGTTCTTTATCCATAAAGAAAGAATTCTTTGTAAAAGGTTGCAACAATGCTTTTAGAATATTCCGAATAAACACATATTCAAAATGTACAAACTGTAAAACTTTTATATTTGACAAATATTTACGCTAACAATTTGAGATGTTAATTTTGAATTTTTTTATAATTTTCGTTACATATTAGGTAATGCTTCAATTAATTTTTGCACGTACTTTTATTATATAAACGCCTGTGTAATTTTATTAAAATTATATGATAAATGTTCTAATTAATAGCCAAATAACCTTATCGTAAAAATGAATTGATCATTTAGTAATATACGTGTTAATCTAAGTATGAAAAATTGATTTTGTTGGAAAACTTTAATATATACTTGTATTTGAGATTTTAATTGTATTACTTTTTTTATTTATAGGAAGATTTTACTTTCTTCATAACATTTTTTCAAATGTGATTGATTTAGTGACACGATAGTTTTGTTCTAATTTATAACATAAGTTAAATGCCTCAATTAGTGGCCGAGTAAAACTACATACATCATAAAAATACAGAAATATATAAATTTATTTTAAAAAATAATAAATAATGACACATATTATTTGAGTATCACAAATCGATAAAACATCATGAATTTATTTAACTTATTACTGATTTAAATATAGCAATTTATAGGCTAATGACTCGTATTTGAAGTATTTGAATAAATTCCGGAAAATCTTTATTTATATATATATATATATATATATATATATATATATATATATATATATATATAT